TTTGTGTATACATATATGTACCTCGGGTACATATCTGTAGTAGGCCTACCTGTTACGACAACGACCCCTTCAGCGTTACTGTGTCTGAATGTGATTCATCTCATTGCTCTAGGTATCAACAACTAATACCATCATGCTCACATTCTCACTGTGTTTCCAGATGAAAAGTGGATTGTTAAGGCACAGAAGGTGCTGCAAGATGAAAAAGGGAGCAATAAAAAACTGTTTGAACATTTTTATGTATGCAGCGCTGTTGCCATAGCAACCGGCCACCATGCCGTTCCAACTATATGGCCAAGCTCAGACATACCCAACTATTATATGATACGATGTGATCAAGCGCACATAAACTGTTTATTTAGTGATAATTTATTATTTTATACATTTATTACTGATGGCTATAAACTCATCATTATGCATATATTGCGTATGTCATCATTCTTACGCATTATTATATATTGTTATACATTGTATCAGTATTTTGATACACGTACGCGACCGAGACAGACGTGTTGGTTTAGCAGGAATCAGTCCAAGAACGGTGATGCAAAGCATTATATGCCATAACTGTGATGAGGTGCTAGTCTACAGCTGTCGCCCCAATAGGAATCTTTGATGTAAGAAGACCGTCTGTCTTATTTTAACTCAGCGTTTTTATTCCCGCAAAACTTTTTGTAGTATCATTGGCGGCAAGATCGGGTACACGGTGAAATCATAGTGAAATGCAGACGAAACATGTACCGCGTTTACACCGTAATGGTTTGGCTCGAGCTGAATGGGCTAAATTTGGCTCAGGCTACATTTGGCTCGGGCCGGATTGAGTCCGAGCGTTCACACTTACGGAAGTAAATACTGTCTGCCAAATTCAAATAAATTTTATTGCACAAATATCTCACAGATACTTTGGCAGTGTGCCGCGAGATGGCGGTGTGTACGATTCAGTGTTAGACTGGTACTCGCTCCCACCTCGATTACTCGATGGGTAAATAATCGTAAACCCATCGAGTAACTAAGCCGAGAAGTGGGACCGGGTACCAGTCTAATTCAATGTTTACTTTCGTTTGCTACAGTGGCGCTCCCTATGTAAAAGATTTCGTGCGAACACTCGCGCAAGCCGCTGACCTAGTTCTTGGGACTTGTTTATAAGTTGTGCCTTATTTCTTGGCTTGCCTGTGTGATTTCCTTATTAGAATGTCGGGAATTTTAGCTATCCGAATGAATACGAGAATGTTAGCTTGTTGCGTCTCGCTGCAGAAAAGATTGCTTGCGCAAACTGTCGCCAAGAGCACCACTGCGAGCGTGTTGACAGAACGACGATTTAGTGTTGAACGCGGTCAGCCTCCAACTTCAAATTCGCCAACAGTCATACAGTTAGGTAAGTAGGTTCTGTGGTGCAAGTAAGTAAGTAAGTAAGTAGTTACTGCATTGTAAGAAGTGCATGGTGTCCATAGTGTCCATGTGTAGCATAGTGCTATTTATTGATAGCAAACATTTAAAATGATTGTAATTTGTACTTCTAGCTATATAGCTGCCTATACAGTATTAATAATTATGTATATTATTATGTAGCTCTATAGTACTATAGCCCGCGTACAGTTGGCTAGCGGCAACTGTTCGCGGGCTATAGTACTAGAGCTAATTATTATTATGTACCTCGCCCTCGTATGTTGGCGTGTGTGGTGGGGGGGGGCGGCACTGGGTGTTGTACTGTTGGGGTTATTCGTTTTACTTTTCTCTTTCCAGTTAGATGCTATTCTACACACGACTATGAAATGACTTATGAAGAGCTGAAAGCACTGTTGAATACCGGTGGTGTACAGCTGTTTGATGTTCGAGAACCAAGTGAGATAGAAAGAGACGGCGAAGTACTCCAGAATGCAGCAAATTTACCGCGTAGGTTTTTTGCAGGGATGAACTGTACAGCTATCTGTTCTCACAGCTGCAATATACACAGCTCGTGAAAACAGGCTAATATAGTACGTACTACCATTTCTACTACAGGTACGTGGCTAACCTATTTTGCTTGCGGGGGCCAAGGCCACGTGTGTGTTGCCCCATTATACAGCCACCATTGGCCGGCTACTACCACTGGATAACATTGTGAACATGTTATCCACATTACTTATGCAATCCAGTGGCTGATCCAGAAGTGAATTTTAAGTGGGAGGTGGGGGGGGCGAATCGTGCGAGCTCAAAGGGCACGAAGCGCCCGAGGGGAGGGTGTAGGCTAAAAATACCCTTGCCCTGAAATTCTGGGGGGGGCCGGGCGACTGCCCCCTAGTTGGGCCCCCTGGATCTGCCACTGCAATCATGCAAACATAGTGTTTCTTTCCAGGAACTATTTGCACTAGCGTACCCCCATCGCTCAACATAATTTATGCGTGTCTATACGCCGAAACTCTGTCGACGTTTGTTTCAAAATCCTCTAGTTTGGAGCACATTTCTGCTGAATAAGAACATTTCTTGAATGTTTGCATACTGCAAGTATGCTCAGTCACAGTAGGTGTATGTACAGTGTTCTCATTAGGAACGGCCACTCGCCGAATTGACCGTCTACTCTGCTGTTTCAGCCGGTTACAATTGCTCAAGTATATTTTTAAAAAAAGAAAAAAAGTTTATTTGCATTTAGTTTGCTCTAATTATTCTCCAAAGTGAAAGTGTTTTATGAGCTACTACTAATAAATCAAGTTAAGTATATTTGTATGGCATGTTATGGCACAACAAGCATCGTTTTGTTTTGAGTAATGCTATTTACGTACTTAATTGTCTAAACTTATAATTACTAAATTGTCATAATTTGGAAACTTTGGTAACTCTGAATGTACCAGGAGAAACCAAGTTGGGAAAAGGACCATACTGTTAATCAAATGTGTCTGTTTACTGCAGCTCAGAAGACACCAGATTGCATCTCAGAGCATCTAGGTTTAAAAAAAAAAAATTTGGGGGGTACGCTCCAAACCCACTCTGCCGCACACTCCCCCATGGCCTGTTGCAAAAGCATTTCGGCCTTACTATAAAGAGATAATGAAAACCTGTATTAGGCTTTTTGTTGCGAGTTTATCCACTTTAAAGATTGGAGTGCAGGGTTCTCCGCCAGGATGAAATTGAAACAGGCGGGTAGGGGGAGGGGGAGGGGAGGGGCAACTAGGGGGGTCCGGGGGCCTGGTGACCCACTGGCAGCAAGAACAAGTCCTCACCTGCAGCTACAACACACATGCATCTATTGACTATATATAACGTTGTTATATATAGTTATATATAACTACTATAACAACTATAGCTACTATAACAACTATAATTACTATAACAACTATATATAACGTTGTTATATATAGTCAATAGATGCGTGTGTGCTGTAGCTGCAGGTGCGGACTTGTTCTTGCTGCCAGTGGGTCGAATGGGAATTCTTGCCGAGGTGGCCCCTCAATTGCCAGTAGCAGCAGCGCCTCCAAAGCTGACTCACTCAGCCTGTTCCTCATGTAACCATTCCCATTAAAAAAAAAAGTTTTCCCAAACGGGGCGGGCGCGCCCGGTTTGCGCAACGTAGGGAGAAGCCTGGAGTGATAAGCTTTACATACACTTTCATTTTCTATTCAGTTGGGCAGGTTAAGGAAGCTCTGGTAATGACTGAGGAGGCATTTGCTGAGAAGTATAAGTGTGCAAGGCCACAGAAGTGGGACGCTAATGTCATCTTCTACGGACTAGGACCCATCAAGAGCACCGCTGCTGTTGAGCTTGCACACAAGGCTGGATACACAAAGTACGTCGGTTCCCTTTTTGGTAAAAGGATCAGATTTCACGCAAACATGACATTTTAAGGAAGAGTGTCCTGGATCGTACCACTTTTAAAATTGCAATGTCTGCTAAGCAGCAACCTAATTTAAGACAATTTCCAACACTGAGAGTGGCCTCCTACGTTGGCCAGTGCTGCTAGGCATCTTGCTCATGTTTTTTTTCTGGATAATAACGACGAGAAACCCTATAATCACCGATGTGTGCTTCAGTATGCCAGGTTATAAATGCCAAATTGATACCCCTCCTTTAAATGTTTCGTTATTTATGTCTACAAGAATAGCATAAGACAGTGTTAGAGCTTTAAAATAAAAACCACTCGCCAAACTGGGCGAGTGAGTCCATAAATTAACTCGCCCAAACGGAATCTGTACTCGCCCAAATTTTAAAACAAAAATGCTTGTCAAACAATAGTGAAAAAACACAAAAACACCATTGATTTAACTACACATGTAGTTCATTGATCACGTTTCTCAAAAATTCAAAGCACATCTCCTCTGAAAGTTCCTGTTTTCATTTTCATTTAATTTACTTTTATTCTCGGGCTGCTTTGCCCCGTCAATGAAACGCCACGTTACGCCGATTTTATTGACTTGTTAACACCTTAGGCCAACGTGACTTTTAAACAATTCTGCACTCCCCCCCCTCCCCCCTCCCCATACATCAATCAATATGCTGCCCCAGGCACACAGCCACGCCGTGCTGGCGCTGCACGCTCTGGCAGGCTGCTTTCTTCGGCGACCTTTGATAATATAAAGTGAGGATGTCGTGGGATAGCCGCCCTTCACAATCGCTACAACTGTATTTCATCAATGTTTGGATATATATCGTAAGGAACCAACATTTGATTAAAGTTTAAGACGATTATTTTTACTCGCCAACATGGGCGAGTCAGCTTTAGCTTTTACTCGCCCGATATTATTTTCACTCGACATTGGCGAGCGGGCGAGTGCCAAGCTCGCACGCTGTAAGATAGAAGTGTTGAGGGTGGGGTTATATAAATCGGACAGAGAAAATTGAGGTGACTGTTCCCAAATAAAATTAGATAGAGTGATGGAGGTTTCACTTGCTGAAGCTATGTAAATGTCTCGATGCAGGCATAGTCGTCATTATTGTACATGTGGAATCTAGTAGCATGGCAGTGTGCCAGTCAAAGCCGTCAGTGTTAATGTGCAAGCAACATTTCACTGTTTACGTTTTCAGAGCAAGACATTATCCCGGCGGGATAGCGGAGTGGAAGTCAAAGCATTGAAAGCGGTGAGACGTTCCAGTGAAAGCTGGCAAGAGCGTGTGAACTGCTCACTGTGTAGCACTTACACAGTGATCATAATCGTGGTTTCTTGCTGATTTTTCTTAATGAAGATTTAACAATCATGCTACAGCCACAACATTAACACCACAGTAGCTAAATTACGTAAGTAGTTTTAAGTAATTATTCTAATTAAACTGAAATGTTATTTACAGTCAGTAGCCTTGATGCTAGTCACCTTTGAAGCGAGGTTTCCTATTAACCGATATTGCCTCGCATGTATACCTGCCTGTGCCAAAACACCATTATACTTCATGTATAGGATGTATTGCTTGTGAAAGGTTTCTAAGCTTAATATGGCCATTTTACTTGCTGCTGTGGTTTAGCTGAACTGCAGGGTTCAGACTAGTATCAGTATTTGGGTAAGTGTGGGGTAGAAGCGTTTATTTAGGATGAAGCATGGTTAGCACAGTAGTGTTCCGATCAGAGACCTAACACTATAACTGCAGTGCTATGGTCTCTGCTACATACGGTGTGTGTAATGTGGGGTTATGATGTTGAACGTGTTGGCAGGAGTGCTGCAGTGTTTTTGAAGCTGCTTATCTTCCCAGCACATTGAAGAGTAATATCTGACGTGCGTTAGAATTTGATGTATTTCTAGTAAGGTGAAGGCGGTGGAAAGTGGTGCTAAAAGTAGTTGCATGATATTCGAGTAGGGAGTCATTCTAGATACAACAATGTAACCCAAACACAGAATAGGGGGGGGGGGGATTTAGTACCCCTATCCTGTGTTTGGGTTACATTATTGTATCTAGGAGGCATTCATGCAGACATGGTGGAGGCTGTATCAGGATATAGATGATATACAGATCATATGGAGAAATGGGTGAGTAGGGTAATATCAGGGGTTGATAATGACACATTTGTCATTATCAACCCCTGGTAATATCAAATGCGGCTATAATAGCTGATACTACTGTTGTGATGTCGTGAGATTTTACTGTGCATGGTGGGTTGTGGCATGCATGGCCAAACTACTAGTACAGAGTAAGTTTATTTCAGCTGAAACAAATGATAGTCAATAGTATTTGGGGATCTCCACGGCCCCTTCGCATCTCGCGTTTGAAGCGAATTTGCGACCTTGAATCCTCCGACAAGTCTTAATTACCAGCTGTAGTTACTTTTGGTAAACCCAACTCGTGTTTTCACTGGCTGAGTTATGTCTCCGAACTGATCGAGGTAACGTTTGGGCCACTTGTGACAGACGTAATTGACCCTCGATACAGTCCCCTCCCCCCCATCCGTCCATAAGCGACATGCCTTCTGGAGTCTCTGGAGAGAACCCTGTTATTGATGTAGAATATTCTAGGTTTTTGTTATCCGTGGTGTCATGAATGTCGTGCGATTTTTCCATGAGATAACGGATAGCAGCAAGATTGTCAGGTAAGGAATGGTACGGCCGGGTATGTGCCAACAAGGCCCAACATTTAATATTTTTGCAATGATACAATGTAAGTATTCAATAAATAGCAAGTAAAATAGACTGTAGTTGATGAAACAGGAGTTGTTGAATTTTGACTCGTTTTATATAATAACCACTCATTAACACTCGACTGTAACTTTGAAGACATAAGCCCTATGGTATAGGCGCTTGCTGTCCAAGATCCAGATATGTATCCACACAATTAGGTCATTCAATTTGCTTACACTGACATGCAGCAACCCCAAAAAAACCTGTCGCCCTGAGAAATTTTTCATGTAACCGCATCTCCCTGTCGATGGGTACAGTACGTACTGGGGATATAGAGTGCGAAATATCATGCGTAGCTATTAATAGATCAGCTGGGTGACTGCCTAAAGCAGAGACAAAATGCAGGCAAAGCTTGAATTGAAAACACGTGCATTGAACAACTATTTTTTTAGAGAGAGAGAGTTTCCTCGAGTAAGAAGTTTCCCCCTTTGCTTTGGCCGACACCAGCTGTACTAATGCGCACGGAGCAATGTGTCTCAGTGACAACTGTATCTCCTGGTTCACATGCAGTCAGCTATCTCTCTACCCCTACACACTTCTATGCGCTGTGGTCACGTGAAATCTAACTTTTCACGAATATCCGTAGAATAACGTATATGTCCCTGCATAGGTGCATGCTCATAGGTAATGTCAAAGAAATTTCTAAAATGATACCTGAATTGATAATTTATTAGACGTCTTTTCAATATTCAGCAAACATCAACCATTAAGAATTGAAATCAACCTATACATAATATATGATAAGCATAGTTGTAATACTACTAAGAACAATAACATTAATGGTATATATGATCACATGATAATGTAATTCAACGATGATGTGTAAATCACTTAATGCAGCAAAGTCTTACTAGCTGAGCTGCAATATTGCATTCATGAGCCTGTATTGGGATTAAGAAACTATATTCCTTGCCAAGAGTCAATTCAACGAATTTTGCAAAAAGGTTTTGTATGTTTAGGCCATCACAGTTTCCAATAACTCAAAAGCTACCAACATAGCTGGGTTAAAAATAGCTGAGAGCTGATGTTTTGGGTATGACTCTGTACATTTCTTTATCTCTCATTTATTGTAAGAAATATCCAGTCACTGCATTCCTGCACAACCCTATATGAAACAATGCTACCACTAGTGGTACCTTGTAAACTTCCTTTTCAAATCACACTTGGTCACTGGACACAGCACATTTAATCTACATGCATTTTATTTCCAATGGTATTTGCTATAATCAAGGCTCGTATTACACAACAACAATAACCATCTTTTTTTAATCTGAGATAGACAATTTCCCACAGTTTAAAAATGTAAACTAATAAAATCCACACCATGACACACTGGTACATGGCAAGCACATTAGCAGCACTGCCGCAACAGTGCAACGTTGTTTCAACAGGTTACACGAAAAACTCTCACTCTCTCGCTGCATATCGTTGCTCGGCAGCAGCAACGTAGCAACTGCACCAAACGAGAGCGAATATCACAGATGTCGCACTGCGTAACCATGGGAACATGCAGTCTCGTGAGTCGTCCGTCACCTCACGCGCTGTTGAACGCCGGAAGTCCGAACATCTCCGGCTGGAAATCTTCCATGGAGTTGAGCAGAACTGTGGCTTTTGGACACAAGGAGCGATCCATGTCCACGTGTGGGATCATGACCACCTGCATACCGGCAGCGAGCGCAGCCACCACTCCGTTTGGCGCATCCTCAAACACGAGAACCTACAAACAAGAGAACAGGTTGCAGCACTGGTCATAAACTCGGTGACTATCAGCACCTGCAACCGAGAGCACAGATATAGGTAGGAACACTGCAACTATAGGTAGCAGCACTGCAACTATAGGTAGCCCTTACCTATAGTTGCCAGTGTTGCTACCTATAGTTGCCAGTGTTGCCTACCATAGTTGTGTTAGTGTTGCATACATATAGTTGCAGTGCTGCTACCCTATAGTTGCAATGTTGACTATCGATAGTTGCAGCGTGTTGCCTACTATAGTTGCAGTGTTACCTAACCTAGTAGTTCATGCTGCTACTGATAGTTGCAATGGTTTGCCTACCGATAGTGGCAGTTTGTTGCCTACCTATAGTTGCATGCTGCCTACCCTAGTTGCGGGTGTTTGTTACTATAGTTGCAGTGTTCCACTATCTAGTTGCCAGATGTTGCTACAGTATTAGTTGCAGTGTGCTTACCTATAGTTGCAGTGTTTGCCTACCTATAGTGGGAGTCGTGTTACCTATAGTTGCAGTGTTCCTACCTTAGTTTGCAGATAGTTGCCCTACAATATAGTTGCCCAGTGCTGCCTACTATAGTCTGCAGTGGTTCCTACCTATAGTTGCAAATGTTGCCTACATATAGTTTGCAGTTTGCTACTATAGTTGCCAGTGTTGCTACCTATGAAGTTGGCGGTGTTGTTACCTATAGTGCCAGTGTTTCCTACCTATAGTATGCAAGTGTTGCGTGACATATAGTGTGCAGTGCTTGCCGTACCTATAAGTTGCGGTGTTGCTAGCCAATAGTTGCAGTGTTAGCTACTATAGTTGCCGGCTGTGCCTAGCCTATAGTGCAATGGTTGCTGACCTATCAGTTGGCAGTGTTGCTACTAATAGTGCAGGTCCTACCGTATAGTTGCAGTGTTGTTAAACTATAGTTGCAAGTGTTGCCTACCTACAAGTTGACAGTGTTGCTACACCCTATAGTTGGCAGTGCTGGCTACCTATAGTTGCAAATGTTGCTACCATATAGGTTGCAGTGCTTCGCTACCTATAGATTGCAGTGTTGCTACCTATAGTTGCAGTGTTCCTACCTATAGTTGCCGGTGCCTGCCTACTATAGTTTGCGGTGTTGCTACCTATAGTTGCAGTGCTGCCTACCCTATAGTTTGCAGTTGTTCCTACTATAGTGCGGTGTTGCCTACCTATAGTTGTGCGTGTTGCCTACCTATAGTTGCAGTGTTGCTACCTATAGTTGCAGTGTTTGCTACCTTATTAAGTTTGCAGTGTTTGCTACCTATAGGTTGCAGTGCTGCTAACCTATAGTTGCATGTTGCTACCTATAGTTGCAGTGTGCTACTATTAGTGCAGTTGTTGCTACTATAGTTGCCAGTGTTGCTACCGTATAAGTTGCAGTGTTGCTAACTATAGTTGCAGTGCTAGCTACCTTATAGCTTGCAACTGTTGCTTACCTATAGTTTGCAGTGTTGCTATATAGTTGATGGTGTTGCTACTATAGTTGCAGTGTTGCTTTAACGTATAGTTGCAGTGTTGCTACCTATACGCTTTGCAGTGTTGCTAGCCTATAGTTGCCAGTGCTGCCTACCTATAGTTGCCCAATTGTTGCTTTACCTCCATAGTTGCAGTGTTGCTACCTATAGATTGCAGTGCTTCCACTATAGTTGCGGTGCTGCCTCACCTATCAGCTTGCGGTTTGCTACCTATAGTTGCGGTGTTGCTACCTATAGTGACGGTGTTGTTACCTATAGTGTTGTGGTGTTCCGACCTATAGTGCGGTGCTGCTACCCCTATAGTGCCCCAAATGTTGCTAACTGATAGCTTGCAGTGGCTGCTACCTATCAGGTTGCCAATGTTGCTACTCTATAGTTGGCCCAAGTGTTAGC